TCTTCTCTCTCTCTCTCTCTCTCTCTCTCTACTCCGGTTGGTAAAAACTTGTATTGAGTGTCATTATCCATTTATACCTATACCATACTGACTGATTCACTGACCACTATGTTACTGGGTGTATCAAGTGGTCAAATACGCCGTGGCCAATTATATACTGCTAGTTAGTGCAAGAAATGAATGTCCCACAGTTGTAGATTGTAGTTTGGCTAAGCACTGAAGAACAAAACTTAAATGTCAGCATATTGCTCAAATAAGTGGCTCAATGCTAGACGTTGTTTTCCTAAGAATAAGACGCCTTAATATTTGAAACACCTTGGTAGTTATGGGTCAAGATATTTTTGGTCAGCAAATTAGTATGACGTAGTATGACTTGTGAGGTACAACAATCATTAGGAAATGATTGAGTTAAAGCTGTAGCTATGAGTTTTACATATGGACTGATGTGAGGAATCGGATTGTGTGACATTGGAGCTCCCCTATGCATTTTTGTTTGTGGAGCTAACAAATGAGAGCTGTAGCTGTGATGTGTGATTGTGACAGAAGGAAATATAGGGTACCACCGTTTTGATCAAACTCTGATAACGTTTCGTCTGTGTTTGTCATCATTCCCTTATCCACCTTCTGTTTATGTATATGCTTATGCATCTGCAGAAATCAGTGTGTATAGCTATGCCATGATAGATGCGTATCCTTCTGGTTCTGAAAAATGATAAATGATTTGCTGCCCTCATTACTCCTTTTCTTTGTTATCCTTCTGATGACTTGATATGGCTGTTGTGCTTTCAGGGATAAGTTTGACGGTTGAACAGTGGGAAGCGTTTCGGAATGCTGTACCTGCAATTGAGGCTGCCATCAAGAAGCTGGAAGGGTCGGACTGAAATATGATGTTTGCAAGACCTCTACTTGAAAGAAGTGCCTTTTTGATGAGGTGTGTTGTAGAAAAGGCCTCTTTTAGCTATTAATGAATAAGATTCAGTCTCCTCTACACTCATTTATGGGAATTTCACCTATGTGCTACATGGTGCTTGCAGGCCCATCCATAAATTAAAAATTGGTCAATTATTATTATTTAATTTGATTGCATCAGTTCTTGTAAATCTGCATATACATACAATTGCGTGTGTAAATATCCAGCTTTTATGTTATTGTATTTGATATCTAACCTAAGTTTTCTGGATGGATTCATTGCAGGTGACCTTGAATCTGATGAAGCCGAATAGGAAGGACCCTGCCAAATCAACCTTCAAGAAGGTGAATTTTGTTTTTTGTAGTAGCTAATGTGACATAAAATAGTTAGTTTAGGGTTCTACTTCTGTCAGCTGGAACTCATATATATCGAAGGTGAAGCATGACGATATATGTTCGTAGACACCTGGGCCTTCGGGCCCATTGTGTTATTGAACTAATATTCTATGGGACCCATCCCTCCTAGTAGGGGGACGGACTGTGCACTCGTGCGTGGCGTTCTTGTTTCGACAGACTTGTGCGTTTGTCGAGACTTAACCGACGCATGAACTTTGTATCCACGTCCTAGAAAAAACTTGGCCGACCTACCAAAACGGTTCTAGTGAAACGGAAGTTATAGCAGTGGGTGAATGATGGGAGACATCTGTGGACCAACCCATTTGTACACACCACATATGGCAAGGTGGTGGCTACCGTGTAGTAGGCTCTTGCCAGCCTCTACTTATTAATTCCATGGAGAGCCGTCTCTCGGAAAGTTCAACGAGATTCGGATCTCGTACGAGTTATTTGTATTTCACTCGTGAAATCATTAAACTAGGTTGCACGTGAAGGATAAAGACAAAGAACCAACTAAATGACCCTGTTGTCGTTGTCCTTGAATCGGCATATTCCTCCCGTGGTAAGTGGAAATGGGAGTTACATGTTTCTTGCGTTGGAATCTAGACTTGTAAGCTAGACAGTACTGTGTCATTAGAGTCCAATTGGCGTCCAGACATAGGAGTCATTACTGCCCTGTTTATTGACGTATATTTCAACTGAATCCGACATCTGATTGAACACGCGTGAAAAGTTGACCTACTAATGAAATCACCTACAGTTTCACTAGGAGATCAGCTGTTCGAAAACAAATCGTTCTATCATCACACAAACACGGCCTGCAGCTGATGCTATTTATATACAAGGAAAACATAGGCGGCTGCCAAATTGCAATATTGACCAATAAGCAGCAGCAAATTTCCGAATTTTCTGAATCACAGATACCAATATTGACCAATAGTCTCATCTGGTTTTGTATCATCCGTAAGTGTCAGTGTTAAGATGGTTGATATTTCATGCAGTCTCTTCACAATAAAAAAAAACCCATAGGCTACGAGTTGGAGGTTTATTTTCGGAGTTGTTTTATCTCTGAACTCTACTTACAAATCTTAAACATTCAAGAAGAGATTTAACCAAAATAATCAAAATAGGATTGTCAAACCTAATACTTGTATGCTGAAACAATGGTGAAGAAATTGTCAAACCTAATACAAGAAATCTACTTATAAATCTGAAACAATGGTGAAGAGATCTAACCGAAATATGATTGTCAAATCTAATACAAGACCCTTGTATGCTGCTCGAATATGTACAAACAAGTTGCATGGACAAATCTTCAAGGAGGGCTGTAAGTTTACGCAAACCATCCATAGGGAAAAATGTTGCAATGAGCAGGCAGCTAATGAGTTGGTGATAATACTACCATCAGATACAAACCATGTGTCACCTTCACAAATTGGTCAAAAGTGACCATGTGTTACCTTCACAAATTGGTCAAAAGTGATCAAGTGGGGCAGAAAAAAATATCTCCACCAAAACCAAAGTGAGCTCAGCAGTCTTTCTCAAGAATCTTCGCCTGGGAGCCAAAGTTGGCACCACATGAAACGGGTGCATGTAACTCCTTTTCCTGCTGCGCAGCGTCTTGATTCCTGGAACGGAACGCTGGCGTGTAATTTGACGTTGGCTTTGCACCAAAAAGTATGCCATGTGCTTCGGCGCTTGCTTTAAATGGTTGAGCTGAGCAGCCAACCGTTCCGGTACTATTATAAGTTGTCAACTGTTGCCGCGTGCCTCTCCTGGAACTTTTATCTGAAACCCGTGGTCTGACACCACTGAATCAAATGTTGTGCCGAAGCTGACACCATCAGGAAGAAGCTTTCCAAGCTGGAACATGCACACACGGACTTCACCTCTCTGGAGTCGGCGAGGGGAATCCATTGCAGAAGAAAAACTATTCAATTCTCCACATGCGAATGTCTTCTGTTTGTTCTTTTCATATGTTCATGAAGACTCGAGTTTCCTCATCGCATAGATAGGCATCCCTAACCCGACTTAAGCGTAAGATTTTTCCTCTGGCATGGATGGAGCAACAAAGCGTTGTTGAGTTTCTTGCACTAATAAGCTAGCACACAAATTGAAGGCATGTGAAGATTGCAACTAGTAAGATAAAAGATTTTAAGGCAGAGAACACTAGAAAAGATAACCATTTCATAGAGAAAGAACCTGAAGGGAAATGGTTTTTGCTGCACAAGACTGGCATCAAGTCCCATTTCTTCTTATTAGAGCTGCAGAGAGTTGTAGCAAAAGAGAGTTCAAGCATACGAATCACTTACTACCTAAGAATAGTGTATCTTTAGAATGAGAAATAGAGAGGAACGAACCTGAAGTGAATTGGATTTTGCGGCCAACGTCAACTCCATCTCATCAGGACTGCAGATACGAGGAGGATTCAAGCAGATTAAAGACATCGGAATGAGCAAAAGATTAGAAAAGATATGACCGACGAATACTACAAAAGAAATTATCTAATAAAGTACTTAGTAAAATTGCTACACAATGGGCGGATCTGTATAGCTATGAACATCAAATGGTTCCAATATCCAGCTACTTTGGCTGCTTGGACACTGTCATGTTGCCCTAAACTCATGAGCCAAAGCAGCAATCAGCTTCTCCTTCGTGAGCTGCTCGGCGGCCGGCGATTTCACCACGAAGGTGTGCAGGACGCTGTCATTCGTTGCAGCGACCTTCGAGTCCACCACATCGATCTGTGAATCCTTGAGAGCTTGGATGACCTGGGATACGGGGTGCCTGTCCAGTGGGCAGTTTACCCGGACGATTACCTCGTCCTGTGCCGTCTGGATGTCGATCTCAGGGCAATGCGGCGGCGGCCGCTTGTGATCCACACGTGATGGGTCGCCCCACATCTCCCTCTCCGCCTCCATCTCCTTGAGCTTCTTCTGGAGCTCGGTGATGTAGGATATGGCGTCGCCGAGAAGGGAGGCCTTGTCCATCTTGGAGATGTTGGGTACGACGGCTCTCAGGGCGTAGAACCTCTGGTTCAGCTTCTCCCTTCTCTGGCGCTCGGCTTCCACATGGTTGAGCGGCTCCTCCCTGCCGTTCGCCGGCTTACGCCCCCTCTTTCTGGGCCTGCGCTCTTCAGTTCCGCCTGGTTTGTGTTCTTTGCAAGGTGCCTCGACGTCCGAGAGCTCCGAGTCTACCGCACCCGCACGACCTATCAAGACGCCGGCGGGAGCGGGATTTGCAGCCGCCGCCGCCGCTGAGCTGAAATCGATCTGCCCCGACGGCGGCAGGGGCCGGGGAAGCGCTTGCTGTCGCTGCGGCTGCAGCTGTTGCTTCTGAGGCGACATTACCCCGTTTATGTATCGAACATATGGTGCGCCATTACCAAATTTCTGCTGATGAGGATTCACGAGGTGATTCTGTTTCCACTGGAGCAGCGGACTCTTCTGATGGTGATCGCCATGCTTCGCGATCGTCTCCGGTGGCCTCTGCTCCATGCTCACGATCGAAGCCCGCCCGTTAAGCTGGGCGTGCCCAAGCTTCAAATTCTTCCCGAAGATCTTGGGATACTCCGCGACATGACCGCTGTCGGCCCCAAAGCGCGAAACCGAAACGGGGCCATTGTTCTCGTCTGTCTTCTCGCCAGGCGCCGCCTCCCCCTTACTAAGGCCATGGCCAAAGAGGGACCTAATCATATACAGCGCCTCGAAGCTCTCCGGCACCGGATCCACCGAACCCAATTCAAGCACGCCGGATTCGAAAGGTATGAAGATGATCGTCCTGAAACCCGCCGTTCTCGCAAGAAACGCCCGGACGTAGTGATTGGAGCACGCCGGCGATGCCAGCACCGCCTCGGAGATCCATATATACTTCCCGGACTCGAGCGCTCTTCCAGGAGCGTCCTCGCCTTTGGGGAACGAGAAGTACATGGACGCCAGGAAGTACATCTCCGTGTCAGTTATGCGGTCGAGCCGAAGCGCGTAGTTTTCTTCGTCGGAGCCACCGGAGAGCGCGTGGAGCCTCTCGAGCACCCGCTTCCGCATCTTCTGGTGCGCGCCGTCTAGGGGGTTGCGGCGGGAGCCGCAGCCCTCCTCCTCCTCCTCCTCGTCCCCCGTCTCGATGCAGTGACCGTCGCCCCAGCCGAGGACAAGCTCGTCGGAGTCGGACCGCGAGATCTGCCAGAAGATGGCGTAGGCCCAGGCAACGGAGCCGGGCCCCTCGACGAGGTCCTGGAGCTTGGTCTGGAGGTCGGCGTCCCCTCCGCCCACGGCGGTGAGGTGCCCATCGGAGGAGGCCGCGTGGCGGGCGTTGAGGTAGTCGAATGCCTGGTGGCCGAGCACTGCCAGCGCCATCTTCCGATCCTCGTCGGACCAAAACGTGCCCATCCCAACCCGGATCCCCCCTCCGCAACTCAACTCGCGTCCAATACCCAGTCCTTGCAGCTCCACCTCCACCATTCCCCTTCTCAGATCTCCTCTTCACGACACAAATTCGAGATCAGGCGAATCAACCGCCCGGAGCGGGCACGAGGTCGAATAAAGACCAGACAGAATCAACCGCAGAGCTCAGAAGATGAAGAGGGAGGCGCGGAAGTGGAGCAGAGATAGGGAAGCGAACCCTAACAACCTCGTCGTGAGAAAGGGGGATGACGAGGAGCCGAAGAGGGCCAGCGGCGAAGAGTCCTTAAAGTACACGTGGTAACGCCAAGAACCTCGAGCCGAGCCGAGCCGAGCCGCACCGAATCGGTGGGCCCACCTTGACCCCTAGACAATGTGGTTCGAGTGGCGTCCATTACATCGTTTGGGGCGCCGACACCGAGACGATCCACGTGGCGTTCGTGATGGGATTCATGCAAATTCACCTTCATAAAAACAAATAATAGTAATAATAATAAATAAATAATAAATAATGGTGGATTTGTGTTAGCGTAAGACTCGTGAACAGCTTCTCCGCAGCTGCCCGCCTACCACGAGCACGAGACTCGCGTGACCAACAGCGGTTCACCCCAACAACACGCAATCCATAAAAGCGGCGTCTCACCCGAGGCGCTTGAGTGCGGGGCCCGCGGAAGTGACCGGCGGTGAACGATCGGGTCCGCTTCGTGGGTCTCCGGTCGTTACTGCTCCGTATTCTTCGCTTCGCGTTTAATCCAACCCACAGGTCCGTGCGGATCGGACGGTGAGGACAGTACGACTGTTTCCGTCCACGAATCACGAGGCTCGCCTGTCCTCTCGATTGCTTCACGTGAAACCCCTGCTCCCTTCCGCACCTTTTTAATTCCCCGCCATAGCTCCGAGCCGAGCGGAGCCGATACAAGATGGCACGTGACGACCGCGTGACCGAAAACGATTTCGAATCGGATCGGGTTGAGTCGACTTCGATCCGGCAACCCACCATATCTCGACGCCCATCGTCTCGTCGTCCCCATCGCGGACTTGGGTCGAACAGTTCGCCTGCGGGATCTCGTAGGACTCGAGATGATCGGCGCACATGCACCCTGTTATAAATTGTTCAAATTAAGAATTTCTTTTCAAAAGATTTATTTGAAAAGGTGTTTTCTTTTATTTTTGGTAGTTATTTTTCAAAGGTTGTGTCTTTTGAGAAAATAGTTATAATTTTCAATGGTTGTGTCTTTTGAGAAAATAGTTAATTTTCAAAGATTGTGTCTTTTGAGAAAATATCTATAAATAGCTATTTGGGGGTAAATTACCAAAACAACTCTTTTATGCTCTTCTTCTTTACTCTCCAAGTGATTGAGTTAGACATTCTCCAATTCCTTTCTGAAGATTCTTTATTGTTTGCTCAATACAGATCTTCTAAAGGCTTGTCATATCCACTAAAACTATTTGCATCAAACCCAGAGCAATCTTATTGAGAAGAGGGTGCAAATATCGTTTTTAGGAAAGTATTTATACACGTTTCAAGCCTAAATATCTTTCCTAAAGTATTCTTGATCTTGTGTTTGTTATTTGTTTCCATATTGGGTTTTTTCCTCTTCTTTGTCGTACCTCTATTTTTCCCAAC